AACTCAGAGAGCTATAAAAATCTTTAATTTATTCGAAAAAATAGGGATAGATAAGGTTCGATATATCACAACATATAGCGTGAATTCTATCTCAAAAATTACTAATGAAGAACTCCAAAAGGTTATAGACTATTTTTCTAATGATAATTCTAATTCTTTTATTAAGACAGAAATTTCGCCGACCTCGGGACGGCAAAATCATGTGACTTCAAAAACTAATCAAACTAATGTATTTACCAAATTTGAGGTAAGCGTCCCTACCATACCTGTTCCTTCAACCCATGTCTCTAATTCTTCAAGTGAGACGAATCCGGGCAATATTTCCATAACTGAGGTAAGCAATCCGCTCAAAGCTGAGGACGATTTGCCCAAATCTCAAGTAAGTATACCATCCACATCTTCCATAGGTAATTCTAACGGATCCCAACTCCCAATTTCTATCTTACCTGAAGATCCCGAAGAGAAACAAAAACATATCATTGGGTTGGTGTTAGAGCATTTTCCTTATCTATCCTTGGAGTATAGTGAGAGTTATGGCGATAGATTTGTGTTTAATAGTTCAGTACCTTGTCCCATGTGTAATAATGATCATAAAGGCGAAAATTTAAAGGGTGAATGGGATTCTGGTATGTATATCGGAGAACGAGCTTATTACCTTGAATGCAAGAAAGCTTTTAATAGTGGAATCCCAATAGTATCTGTAAAAGCATAGAGGGCGGCCGAAGAATAGGGGCTATGCGATATGATTAGCATATATAATTAGCATATATATTTCGCATTATTTTTTCGGCTCCCTCAATCACAGATTTCGGGATGATCTTCCGCAGTCCTTGGACAAGAGGGAATGTTTCGCAAATAAAAGAATTTTAACACTGCATATAATCTCTTAACCAGTAATGACTTATCCCTATATGCTACATTCTGCTGATCGTTCAAGAGCAATGCACTAATGCAGGTTATTTTTGAAAATTAGGATCGACAAATTATTAGATATTAAGACTTTCATGTTTTGCGACGATCTTAGCCTTAACTGGGAGTGAGATAGTCTTTTTATCTGCTATGGCAAGATCGAACAATACTAATTAATTGGTATTATCATATCAATAAAACAACATTCGAATATAGATAGTTTTTTTTTGGCAATCATTATTTCGCATATGAGATTTAGGGATGTGTATGCTCATCCTTCGTCAATTTTATTGATTTGCAGGGATTAACGGAATGATGAAATGCAGTGCTTAATTGCTGGTGAAAATCTGGGGAATGTTTTCTCCTGCGAAATTTACAAGTGATATAAAAAGGGTATTTTTTACTTCACACTTCGCACTTCACTCGTTAATACGCCTTAAAGATCAGGAATAGCGGGATGTCTTCTTCCACCAGTCTCCCTAACCTTCGAAATCTTGCTTATAGCATTCTTAAAAATCTTGGAGACGAAATTGTTAATGGTAAAGAATTTGCCGAACTTGGAAAATGCTCACAATGTGATAAAGAGATCCTTTCTCTTAACTTTGAGGCGTTTACTGTGTTATCTTGTGGCCATATATATCACAGGAGATGTATTGAGAAAAATTTTCTACTTACACAAAGAAATAAATGTCTTTTTCCTGATTGCACTGTAACCGTTGAGGCCGTAATCTCTGAACGAAGATTTTCTGTATCGTCTCATTCGAGTACTTCATCGATAGTTAGGAGAATGAGCAACCAACTTCAGATTAATTCGCCAGTAATCCAAGAAGAGGTGTCAAACCAACAAATGGATATGGACGTAAATGGAGAAGAAATAGAAACGATTCCTGTTAGCAAAGCTAACCCTGAGCAATCTACCTCTATTTCCTCAAGCAGTAAGAATAAAAAACGTACTAGGGAATCATCCGAAAAATCGTCTAGCAAGAAAGCGAAAAAAACTGGTGGGAAGAAAAAGGTATCAAGCATGCTAAAACAACTTATCGAAGAATTATTAACTGATACACCTGTTCTCGCTATTAGAGAGAACTTGGAAGAAGAAGCAAGTGAAAACGAGACCAGTAATTTTTTGCAACTATATGATAAGATTGATAGCGCTGAATCTAAAAATGAAAATGCATCTCAAGGTCTTATTTACAGCTATTTTGATTTTGG